AAAAAAAAAAAAAAAAAAAAAAAAAAAAAAAAAAAAAAAAAAAAAAAAAAAAAACTACCCTTTCTTACCAACACTTATCATATTAGTATACCCCTATTAGTACACTCGCTGAATATCAACTTAAACGAACCCCAACTACCCTGTTGTTCCTTCATTATCTCGTAACGATCCAGAACCAAACATATAAACTAGAATTCTCTGCACAACCTGGAAAGCAAAGAAAGACAAGGAAAAAAACAACAGAGATGATAACAAAACTTCATTTCTAAGTGACAATGCAAGTCTTTGGCAGGCATTGCGTGATCACGGGGCTAGGAGCTACAGTCACACAAAGGCGATCCGTAGCTCCTCCCCAATATCAGTATGTTAAGGATAGTTGACCGTTCATTATAAGACAAATATCTATATTTGCCTTACATTACGGGTTACCATATTTGCCCTCTTATTAAAGGCAAATATATTGTATTCATTTATTATTCTTTCTTTTTATTGCTATTTCCATATTATTTGTAATTTACCATATTTCTGTATTCGGTAAATGATTATAAATAAGAGAACTCTCACCTTCATTCAGGTGTGGTGGATTCAGCAAACATTCACATGGTATCAAAGCCCTTTTGGTTTAACAACCTTGATCCTTTCTTCTCTATGGCTTCCGAATCTTCTTATCATTTTCTTCCTTTCAATAATCTAATCCATATGATCACCATCAAACTTTCTTCCTCCAATTATCTTCTTTGGAAAAACCAACTTCTCCCTCTCCTTGAGAGTCAAGACATGCTGGGATATGTCGATGGAACTATGATTCCACCCCCTCGCTTTGAACCAGAAACCTCCTCAACACTCAACCCCAAATATTTGGCATGGAGAGCAGCCGATCAACGACTTCTCTGTCTCCTGCTCTCCTCTCTAACTGAGGAAGCCATGGTTGTTGTCGTTGGTCTCTCTACTGCACGTGATGTTTGGCTTGCGTTGGAAACTACGTTCAGCCATCAGTCGAAAGCTCGTGAACTGAGACTCAAGGATGACTTGCAGTTGATGAAACGTGGCACCAAGCCTGTTGCTGAGTATGCCCGTGCCTTCAAAAAAATTTGTGACCAACTTCATGCCATTGGCAGACCCGTCGAGGACATTGATAAAGTGCACTGGTTCCTTCGTGGACTCTGCACCGAATTTTCAGCTTTTTCTACTGCTCAGATGGCTCTCACCCCTATCCCCTGTTTTGCAGATTTAGTCTCTAAAGCTGAAAGTTTTGAGTTGTTTCAGCGCTCCCTTGAGTCCTGATATGAATCCAACAACTGATCACGTGCATGTACCCGAAGGACCGATTACAAGAAGCAAGGTTAAGAAGATTCAAGAGGCCTATACATTGCATCTTCAAAAGCTAGCTAGTGTACCGGTTGAAACAAGGACTTTTGTGCCCAAAAATCTTTATAGCATTCGCCTATCAAATCAAGAAGATAATGGAGTGGCTGATATTGGAAAATAATTAGAAGACTTGCCTTTAGTAGTTGAATTACCAATTAAGGAAATTATTAATGCTTTATTTGCTTCCTTTTATATTTAATAGCATTTATTAATAGTTTGTATGAATTGCCTTATATTCTTCAATTTGTATTTAATAGCATTTATTAGTGATTGGTGGCTGAACCATATTATGTTAGGGTTACCTTTTAGACCTATTTAAAGGCATGTAATACTCATGTTTGAGGGACTTTTAGTTGAATACAGAAAAAACCCTTGTGTTTTCTTGATACCCTTTTGGTGTTATTCTTTTTCAAATCTTGCTTTAGGTTTGATGTTTAAACCGATTCATTGAATTAGTTTTGATCAAGCTAATTCTGGAGTGAATTGTCTTGGTATCTAAGAGTGACCATCATAGATTCCAAGTTCGATCTAAGAGTCATTCATCTTCTAACCAGCTCTTGGTTGGAATCAATCCGTTAAGTTAGCTTTCTCTGTGAGCGTTTTGCAAGGATTCTAGAAGGACCTCTAGCTTTGCAAATTCCAGCATTGTAGGCGCTTATCATTTGGTATCAGAGCATTTGGTCGACGTTCTTTGGCCGCTCTAGAGGTGAAATATTTTTATTGTTATTTTTTTTTGTATAAATTTTTTTCCTCTCTCAGATTATCGAAAAAAAAAAGAAAAAAAAAATCAGTAGAAAAAAAAATCAGTTCTGAGAGAAAAAAAAAAATATATATATATTCAGTTCTTATCATTTATTTTCAAGCTCTTGATCCTTGAGATACTAGTCTTAGCTTGTTAGAATTGATCGTTGAATTGGTTATAATCAAGCTTAAAGCAAGATTGCACCAAAAAAAAAAAAGGCCAGCCTTTACATTCTTGACCTAGTACCAAAAGCCTACCTTTGAGTGTTAAACACGAGTGTCCCTGAGTGAAATTTTTGTGAGAAGTGTGGTGAGGTCCCTTGATAACAATGTCACATAATGGAGAAGCAGTACCACCAGTTCCAGATCTTAATACAACCATTCTTCAAGCAATTCAAGGTATGATGAAAATGATGATGGAATATAGACAAGAAAGAAGGGCGCAACAACAAAGACAAGAACGAACATTACAAGAAGATGAAGGTATAGTAGTACAAGAAAGACAAGTTGATGGTAGATGGAGAGGAAGAAATAACCATGCAACTATTATGCAACCTAGAAGGATGGAAAGAGTACATGAAGATAGAGATGG